ACTAATGCAGTTAAAATGAGAAAGAAAACAAATAATTGGAGAAAAAAATCTTTGCAGCAAGTTTCTCTGATAAGGGTCTCATGTATCCAAGACATGTTAATGCTCTGTTGATAGAACTTATGAATTAGGCTAGTCATGCTGGAAAGTAATTTTGAGCCATATTCCAAAAATTAATAAATTGTGCATATCCTTTGGCCCAGTGATACCACAAATAGACTTATACTTGAAAAGTAACAAAGAGAAAGAAAAAGTGATTCACATATAGCTCTTTTAGTAGTGGCAAAAGAAGTTGAAACTAAGGGGGAAGGGGTTGCCCATCACTTGGGAAAGGCTAAGTAAATGGGATGTAATGGAATATTATTACACTGTAAAAAATGACAAAAGGGATGGATTCAGAGAATCCTGGGAAGACTTATATGAATTGATATGCAGTGAAGAGAACCAGGAAAGAAAGTTTTATAATAACAACAACGTTGTAAAAACAAACAACTTTGAAACACTTAAAAACTCTGATCAATGCAATGACCAACTGCAATTGGTTTAATGGGGACTAATAATGATGCATGCTACTACTCACATACTAACAGAAAGGTAACAGACTCAGGATACAGAATGAGACATTTTTGGACGAGGCTAATGTGGGAATTTGTTTTGCATGACTGTTAATATCTGTAATTTTGTTTTATTTTATTTTTCCAGGGGGTAGAGCAGGATATTAGAGGCATTAAATGCTAACTGAAAAAAAAATTAAAATTTAAAAAGGTATTGACTAATGGTACAAGCTATTGCCATACTTTTCCAGTCACTTGTGCAAAGAAAAAGAAAAAAAAGCTAGCATATAAGGAGTCAGGGGGCTCCTTCCTAAGGCTTCAGGCTAGCATACCAGCAGCATGACCAACACTGGAAAGCTTCTCAGCTGAATCACTGCTGGATCCCGGCTGAATATATTCCTCTGCTGTTAGGACTGTGTGAACTTTCTTTTGTTTAAAAACAAAACAAAACAAAACAAAACAAAACAAAACAAAACAAAACTCTACCTCGGATTATCTTCACAAACCTACCCTATTGCCACATCTCTCTCAACCTGGCAATATGGTGTAATGGAAGGACCACAGGATTTAGAGTGAGGGCACTTGGTTCAAATTCCAGCTGTGTTGATTATTATCTACGTTGCTTTGGGCAAGTCACTGGACCTCTCTTGGCTTCTGTTTCTTCATCAATAAAATAAAGAGATTGGACTCACCTGCCAAAGTCATCTACCAAAAAAATAATAAAAAATAAAGAAAAGACAGAAAAACCATTGGTTGGAGAATGACCAAGCAGAATACCAGGTGCAAAGAATCCGTCCTTCTGTCATGCTGGCGTCTTACTTGAGCAAGACTGAAACTAACTTATAACATCATAATGAACTAGATGAGGTTGGAGTTCTCTTCCAACTCTAAGACTTTGACCTCTCTTCTAAATTTCATGACAGCTTGCAATATGTAAAAACCTTTCTCTGGGTTTGCAGCTATGTTCCAGATAGATGAACTTGATATAAGTTTGATCTTGGGATAAATGGGGCCTGGTAGACAGCAACCATTTTCCCTACATCAAATAAATACTAAATAAAAGTATCCAAGGTCACTGAAATAGCAATGTACATAGGTACATAGGAATCCCATAGGAAATTCTGTCTCAATTTTATGCATGTTATTACCATGTTGACTTGATGTTACCTTGGTTGACATGATGGCTGATTACTTGAGGATCAAAGTATGTCAAAGGTTTTCACGGTGTGTACATATGCACACAGTAAAATTAATTGCCATGTGCTGGCATATGCCCACATTTCAAAGAAAAAAAGCTTATGAACATTTGATATTTATACTTTAATTACAAAGGTTAAAAGTTAATTAGTCATGTTTTATGCCTTAATGAGAGGTGTATTTTTTTTTTTTTTTTAGTGAGGCAATTGGGGTTAAGTGACTTGCCCAGGGTCACACAGCTTGTAAGTGTCAAGTATCTGGTCTGAAACCAGAGTTGAACTCAGGCCCTCCTGACTTCAGGGCCGGTACTCCATCCTCTGTGCCACCTAGCTGCCCCAAGCGGTATCTTCATACTAAATTGTTACTTGAGCCAAACTCACTGATGCAAAATGTAAAACATTCTCACAAACAAAAAAATATTAATTTAAAAAGACATTAAGTTCTTTATGACCAATAACAGCCTATTAAGTAAACAGTTTACTCCTTTGAGATCCAAAGACTTCTGTCATGAATTTATTAATTGTTCTTTCTCCCTTTAGAAATCAGAATATGTTTAAAGACTGACTTTTATACATATGATACAAGTTGCTCTTTTCTGTGTTGGTGTCTTGATAAACCAGAGAGGCAATGTTGTCATTAGAGAGGCAAAAGGAAGAAGCTGAGTAAGATTAGAAAGCCAGAAAGTTTTCTAGGCATTGCTGAGCATTTCTCATCTTAAGCATAGCGCATTTTAGGGTGGCATACATTTCCAGAATTCTTCCGCAAGAGGCCTACTCCATTGCTTCACTAAGGTGTGGAGATGTTCCTGAATTCTTGAAGGCTAAGCTAATAAAACCTGATTCTGTCACATTCTGCCAAACTAGAAAGGCTTTGAATATAGATAGTCCCAATGGCATTGTTTCTCCATTCTAAGGACGAATCTAGGACGTATTCATCACCAATAGATGGACACGAGTTTAACTAATTTTTTGGCACATTGCCACCTATGAAACAAAGAAAAATAGAAAATAGTCTTGTTTGGTTTTTCTTCCATTTTCACAATAATGGCGTTGGAATGGAGTAAAGGGAAGCAAAATGTGCTAAGAAGGGGGCAGGTAAGTGGTGCAGTGGATAGAGCTCTGGCTTTGGAGTCAGGAGGACCTGAGTTCACATCCGGCCTCAGACACTTACTAGCTATGTGACCGTGGGCAAGTCACTTAACCCTGACTGCCTCACCAAAAAGAAAAAAAAATGTGCTAAGAATTATAGTTTTTAGACTGGCTAAAGACAGATATTTAATTACTGCTATTCTAAACAAGAGATCTTTGTCTAATGACCAGTGAGTTTACGTTTTACTGGAGAACCTGAACCACACCAATACTGACATTCTTAATGAACTGAAAGTACAAGACAGAAGATGCATCTAAATGGAAGAAGGGTTTACCTGGACAAGCTCACAAAGAAGTTGGTCGGATGGGTTTCCTGGCATAACCAAAGGCAATCAGAATCATTTCCTAGGACACTGCTTCCCCTGGACTTGCTGTGTTCATGTTGAAAGATAAGCAAACATACCTTCATAAAGATAAGTGCATCTTGTACAAAGATTTTGCACATGTAATGGAGTATTCCAAGGAGAAAGTCCAAATGGAAGAGGAATCTTTTCTGGACAGCAAGGTCTTCTAGATGCATGACTAGGCATGTTAGGATTTTGACTGTACCAGCATATTCTGACAAAATTTACCGAGGTGATCAACCTTTCCCTTCACATAGAATCAAATCAAATGGCTGCGAAGTGCCTGAACTATAACATGCAACGTGAATGGGCAGTCTATTACCAAGTTATTTCATCTACTTATCTTGCTGCACAGGTGCCTCAGATAGACAACAAACTGGGCCCAGAACTGAACAAGAAGCAAGCAGGTTGGATTGCATTTGGGAAACCATACAGAGTTTTCAATAATCCTAAGACATAAAATTCCAATTTTTTAATACCTATATTATCTTAGTGATGCTATATGGTTGTGAATCATAGAATACCACAAAGAATGCAAATTGTTGGTAACTCAAAAGGCAGTGGAGTGACATGTTGGTGGGCTTACGCAGACTTCAACATCTTTTTTCTTTTTCCTTTCTTAACATTTACGTAGTGCTTTAAAGTTTGCAAAGCACTTTATATATATATATATATATGATAAAATTTAATTCTCACAACTCTATGAAGGTTGTATTATTATTCCCACTTAGCAGATAAGAAACTTAGCCTCAAAAGTTAAGTGGCTTGCCTGGGGTCACAGAAGTCAACCATGAAACGTATGATTAGAAAAGGAATTAGGCTGGCGTGGACTGAGAATCGCGGATAATAGATTGACAACCAACTGATGCACTGATACCAACAAAATGTTAAAAGAAAAGCCCTAGAGGAAGGTCTCCAATATGATCTTCTATGGAAAATTTCATAGAATTTCAGAGTTGAAAGGGATCTCAGACTATCTAGAACAGGAGTGGGGAACCTGTGGCCTCAAGGCCACATGTGGCCTTCTAGGTCCTTGGCCTTTCGACTGAGTCCAAGTTTTACAGAACAAATCCTTTTATTAACGGGATTTGTTCTGTGAAGTTTGGATTCAGTGAAAGGGCTGCACTTGAAGACCTAGAGGGTCACATGTGTCCTCAAGGCAGCAGGTTCCCCACCCCTGATCTAGAACAATCCATACCTGGAAACAAGTAAAAACCTATTTCAAGAATACCTACACATCAATGAAATTGAAGCAGTAAAATATAATTTTCCAGAATGATAGAAACATTCACACCAAAAGTAAAAATGAAATGTCTCTCAAAATCAATAAAATGTATAATATGCTGTGGTAGGTTAGCTATGTCTTTTCCCCCACTCCACTCACAGGGATAAATGACAGGTAGGTTAAATAAAAAGTACAGCATCTAATATCTTGAGAAGTCATTAAGTTCTTTATAATCAATAACAGCCTATTAGGTAAAAAGTCTACTCCTTTGAGATCCAAAGACTTATGTCATACTTTAGTAATACTGATGGTACCCTTAAATAAAACATGTATAAACTCTCTCTTAGGAGATAAAATCTTACTACCACTAACAATAAAGAAAAAAATGAAGTTACCTTTTATTTTTTAAAATTGACAGCATTTTTACCATCTAAAAGTGAAAGATGTATTAGGCAACTAAATGTTTTTAGCATTATAAAAATAAATTCAATCACCTTGTTTAAAAAGATTACAAAATTGAATTTATTGAGTTTCACACAAGATGCACTTATAAAATTGGTACTGAATGTCATTTTAACAGAAGAAATGAATATTATCCCAAAATCCCTTTAGAAACTGCAAAGTAACTGAAAAAATTAAAAAATATGACATCACATTTATTCAATAATTCAAACTGAATTTTAAAGTATCATTCTCTGCATGAACACAAAATGTATTCAAAACAAATACTGTTCTTTAATTAGGGTCAAATCCCACCCATTATGTCCCCGAAATTATTCGCATTCACCTTATATAGGATTCTTGCTGTTTCTGTTAATGGAGAGGATGGAGGAAAGAATAATGCTAAAGTGGTACTTTCTCATAAAAATCAGTCAAAACTCTCTTTTCATTTTAATTACAAATTCCTTTCGGTTTCACAAAAGCATGTCCATACAATCTTCTCTTTTCTATGAACAAGTCTTTCAATTTCTTTAATCAGTACAAATTATTCCGAATGAACTTTCTCATTTGAAATGCACAAACCTAAGGCTTAAAGCTTGCTTTTCTTCCATTCAGCAGGAGACTAGTCTTTAACCAAAAATATACCTTATGCATTTAATAAACCTGAACTATCCACGTGGTGTTTGAAATCCAAAATTAAAAGGAAATAACATAGTTAACATTAATGAAAGCTTTTTGATAGTTCAGAAAATAGAGGTTGTACTCTTTTTATAAAAATGCATGAAGCATTCTCTGGATAAAATAGGATGGGAACTAACTTGTCTCATGATGCAGCCTGTAGTCCAATAATTATGCCAACATGAATCGTGATCTCAAGCTCCACTCAAAGGACCTTTTGGCTCCTCTTCGCATACCACACAGATGAACACATAAAGTCTGCATCATATTTTAAAAACCCAAGCACTTCATGACAATATTGTTCAAACTAGCTTGGGATGATTTATTTTAAAATTACCATTTAAAAAACCTATCAATAAATGGGACATTTCTGAATTTTATACAACTCTATAGACATTTATCCCCCCAGCCAACCCAACATTAAATGCTTTCCCACCATAACGATTCCTGCAGCACTTAAATAATAAAGTGAAACCAGGTATTGTACCTTAAAGTTAACACTGCCCTGCTTTTGAAGTATAAAAAGTGCCATTTTGTAACAAAATTTCTATTTGTCCCATTGCAACAAAACAACTCACACCTTCTTGTGTTTTTCTTTACAGGAGAGTAAACGGAAAAATGATAAGAACTGATTTGCCCAGTTATGTAGACCCTTCTCTAATTTGCTTGTTTTATAAACTGTCACTAATTTAGTTTTTAGATAAAATGCTACTATGCATCATGTCTCATTTAAGATAGTCTTTTATTCTGATTAGTTCAGATACATCTTCAAGGATTATTCTGAGTGGTGATAACATTTATTGTAGCTTTTTATTTTATCAACGTTCATTTCTCTTTAATGCTTTGGCAGATGAAGTAAAAGTTTCAAAACTGCTTATGAAACAGGACATTGGGAAGGTAGCTTCACGTTAAGGATTTCACAGCTTTCCAGGCATATTTTTCTACTGAAGAAGCCATGAGGCAACATTTTATGTTCTGGAAGCACACAGTTTGACAAAGCCAAAGGGATTCTGCTTTTGTTTCAGTCTATTGAAAAAAAAAACAAAACTGTCACTCTGCCAAGCAGGGAGAGGTTTTCATAATCCATCACATTTTCCACATAGCAAGTTAGAGATCTCTGTTGTTACTTGATCTGATCAACAACCAAATCAAGGAAGATACTAATATGTTTGCCATGAATAATTTAAGTTTTTAAATAAATATTTAAGTGCCATGTCTGGCATTTGTCCATTCTGGTAGCATAGCATCTGCTGCCCCAAAGCTCAGTATCCTAAGCACACAAAGTCAAAGAATTTAGTCAATTCTGTTTCCACAAATTGTAAACCTGTCAATTTCCAGCAAATCTTTCTTTGATGATCTGTGTTTTAATTCAGAATTTTCTTGAGTAATGTCTTTCTCATCACCATCTGGCGTTGTCAGAAACTGATCAGAATTGCTGGTAACAAGTGATGGTACTGTATTTTCCTTTTGATGTACAGGTTGGCTAATGATGGAAGCTGATAAGGTCTCTTCTGTAGAAAGCCCTATTGAAAAAGCATAAACAAATTTAATTAAAAAGAAAACACTCGTTCAGTTTATTATTCATTTAGTATACTAGTGCTGATGAAATCTCTCACTGAAACTTGACTTAGACTAAGCAAATGATAATACAATGTCTTAAGCTGATTAAACTAGAGGCTTTGAAAATGAAATCATTTCCACATTCGTTCCAGCAATGTCACAGTAGGTGAGCCCAATCTTCGAGTGAGGAAGACCTGGGTTCAAATTCTGCCTCACATATTATTACATTGTATACTTTGGGCAAGTCACTTAAGTTCAAGGTTCCCTGCAACTCTCTTAGAGTGTAAGTTACAGGCATGTTGCTGAGTTACAAAAAAGGAAGTAGATTTCAATGACCATGAACTCACAGGCATGGAGCAAAAAACAAATAAACAACAACAACAACAAAAAAAAAACAACCCAGTAAACTTGTGTCTATTCTGTGCAAAGCACTCTGTACATCCTCATCATTATTATATAGAGTCTAACTTCCTGATCTCAGTGTTGGAACAAGTATTAACTTGTCTAATAATGTTTTAAAATGAATTTCCTTTCATTAGTCATGAAAATAAACACTAACTCCTAAATACAGGGCTTTGAAAAATTAGGAAGTGGGGTTAAACAACATGCTATCTCTTCTTTCTAGTCTCTTAAATTTCCTTTTTATTTATATCTGAGTTTGAAGGAAATGTGTTTACTGTAGGTAAGCATAATAGTAGCATTCTAGAAAGGGCAGAAAGAAATAGAAACAAATGTGAAGGAAGGCAAGGTAAAAATGCATAGGATTAATGCTGATATTGCATTTGAACACACTTTTCACAAAAAAGTATACCTAGAAATATTTAAGACTTTGTGGACAAGATCCCATTACTAAAGATTTTAGAAATTAAGTTTATTAATAAATGATGATTTATTGAGAGACAGTAGAGTACAGTGGGCTAGAGAAGTCAAGAAGACCAAGGTTCACAGGACATATATTAGCTGATTGATCATGGACAAGCCACCTAACCTCTCGGTGCCTTCAAGAGACTAGGATTCTAAGCTGCAGTTGCCACGCCGTCTAGGTAGAGAGAGCTTCCTCACTGGCTAGTCCATACCCTGAAGAAATGACAAGTGTGGGGTCCTCTCCATGGCAAAGGATTTCTCATACTCTTCTAATTTAAAGAGTGTTCACATGACTTAAACAATTTCTCAGTACTTAAAAACCACACATCCTCTTTTCCTGAGGCCATCTGATTTGAGGTCTTCTCATCTCCATTTTTCAAAATCTGTCTCATTTTTTGCTCTCCATTCCTATAGTACCTGAAGATGGTGTGGTCTTTTTTGCTAATGCTCTCTAGTCTACTGATGCCCATGATCCTATCACCTGTTGTCTTCTCTGGGACCTTAGATCCCTCCTCACTATTGGTTCCTTCCTCTTGCTCTCACATCACCTCAATCCCAAATAAATCATCCTTTGCTCCTTTTATCTGTCTTAAACTATCAACTTATTTTTCTCTTCCTCATTCATTGCTAAAGTTCTACGAACAATACTTTATACTCAATGCCTCCCCTTCCTTACCACTTGCTTACACTTCAATTTTCTGCAGTCTAGTTTTTATTAAACCCAATATACAGAAACTGTTTTCTCCAAGGTCAACAATGCTCTATCTAATTGCCAAATCCAATATAAGTATATCAATCCTGATTCTTATTGATCTTTTCGTAGCACATGAAAGTGCTGACTACTCCCTCCTACTATTCTTTCCTCCCTTGGCTTCTATATTTCTCTTTCCCTATTCTCTTACCTGGCTGGTGCTTCTTGATCTCTTTTACTGATTCCTCTTACATTTCCTCTATCAGTGAAAGGGCAGGCATCTTCTACCATTCAACCCTTTGTTGTTTTGAAGCCTCTTATACTCTTTCTTCTGAAAGCTCATATTATCATTATTACCTCTTATACAGATGACTCCTAAATTTCTCTAGTAGTACTAACCCTGCCCTCTGAGCTCTGGTACCACATTTCCAACTGCCTATGGAATGTATCCATCTCAACATGCCCCAGATCTATCTCATACTATCCTCCCTCTAAAACTGGTTCCTTCTTCTATCCTTTAGCTGTCAGCACTATTATGCTTCATGAGGCTCAAAATGTTAATGCCATCTTTTCTCTTCTTTCTGCCTTATCCTGACATATATTCTTTTGTGAAGTTCTGTCAATTAGAAATCTGAAAAAATCTCTAGCATCTGTACTCTTCTTTCCATACTAGCATCATCCATCAGCTCCCACTGACACCACCCTGATCAGGCCCTCATTTACCTCTTGCAGTGGACTACTGCAACAGCCTTCTTCCTGTTCTCCATATCTCTGATGCTTTTCTCTCTCCAACAAATCACAACATTGCCAAAGTTGTCTTCCTAATGGGCACCTCTAGTCATATCATTTCCCTGTTCAAAAATCTTTAGTGGCTCGTCACTGCATACTGAATAAAATACAAATGCCTTAGTCTGGCAATCAATGGGTGATCACCCATTTCTAGCCTTTTTTCAAGGCACTCATAAAAGTATGCTCTATGCTGCTGCCAACCACATCTACCTTCCTGATCTTGTCCTGATCTTTTGTATTTCACTGCATTTATGCATTCTGTCCCTCAGACTTAGAATATGACTCCCTCCTTCTTTCTATTGGGATCTTTCTCCTTCAAAGCTCATTTCAGAGGTCACCTCCTCTATGAAGCCTTCTCTCAACTCCTCTATCCCCTCCTTGAGGGATCCTCTCTCTAAATGTTCTGTTTGACCTTTATTACACTAAGACTCAACACAGTGACTGGCCCGTAGCTGGCACTTGATGAATGCTAGCTGACTCTTATGAATTCTTTAGCACAGTCTAACACGCATCATTCTTATCTGTGGAACTGTTTCATTCCTCTTGCATTAGATTAAAGCACTGTCATGTTTTAACTTTGAAAGTTAAAAAAAACTTTGAACTTGCACAAAGAAGGCACTTAATTTCTGCTAAATAGAATTTACATAGTGCTTTACATCCATCCCTAGAATTAATATTATGGATATATGTTCCATGCAATGCTATTTCTGATTAAATTCTCAACTTTAGCCTTTTCAATCAATATCAAACCAATAAATATTTACATGATATTTTGTGCAAGGCATGTTTTTTAATTTGAAAACTCCTTTAAAAGTTATTTGAATTCCTTGTGTATGTGCCCCATGGTACATGTTACTATGGAGTTGTGATAATATTTTAAACCTGTAAAAACAAATATAATTAAAAGCAGAGCAAATCTTTCACAGATGGAACTAGAGTTTAATTGCATATTTTATGTATAACTAAGGAAAAGTTACTAATTGTTAAGGGCCAGATGATTATATTGTAACTTGATTTATATTACAAAAGAAAATAGGAGACACAGCAAAAAAATCAAACATACCTTGGGAAGATTTATATTTGTTTTGCGATTTACTAGATGTTTTGCCTGGTGTGCTGGTTGGAGGAGGATCAAACAACTTTTCTTCCATTTTGGCTTCCTTGACATATTGGCATGACTTTCCCAATAGCACAATACTATTAAGGATTTTGAGTGATATCAACCTAAAACCAGAAATAAATTGTTTTAATTCCTTAACAATTCTTAAAATACTTAACATAGTAGAAAGCTACAGCATATGACAGTTTATGATATTCATGAAATTCCGCAATATCTACATGCCATGTTTGTACGATGACATAATTTTTCTTAAGAGGTTAAGAAAAGCAGGGCAGAAGATACTAAAGGAATCAGGCATCAATGAAACAGCTAGCTTGAGACATTACTCTGTGCAATGTGCACAAATCACGAGGCATTAAGAGGAGACATAAAAGAAATGAAAGCTATAGAATCATGTGGTGTGAGTGCTGGCATGGTTAGGGACCAATTTAAATCTTCTCCTATTACAGATACGGGTACTGAGATCCTGAAGTCAACTCTTTAAGCTTAGATCCAAACTAGCTTACAACTTCATTTTCTCTCATTCTAAATATTAAGAAATCATTGCGCACCTCTTAGGATCATCTCCCTTTAGATTTAAAATGGTTTTGACTGGAAACAAAGGACATAATGGTTCCTTACTAAAACACAATTGCTTTATGAACTATACTAAAGAAAAAAAAAACATTGAAAATTCCTGTTAGAGTAGTGATTAGAGGAACATGCTACTGATGTGGCTATACCAAGATTTTTTTTTTTAATGAGACTTTCAGGTATAGCATGTGCATTTTGGCCTCATTGATACATTTAGGCCCAAAGAAAATACCACAGTAGTTAGCTAGTCATTCAAGTATGAAAATTATTATAACAAAATAGTATAAAAAGAACAGGGGGCAAACTAGGAAAAATTACTATGGGAAGTTTAAAAATTTGTGGCAGAAAAGAGGGTCTTATGCAACAATTTTCTTAACTAGTAACTAAAAGAATTTGATGTGCTCTAGATATAGTTAATTCAAATATTCATGGAAAAATGAGAAATGAGTTCATAACACAAAAGGATACATATAATCTAACATTAAATAATCATGACAATAAATTTATGCATAAATATGTTTTATTTAAATTAATGTTAAAATTAGTTTAGCTTCCTTAAGGAAACTTCAGTTACGTATAGTGGGGCTGCTACATGACATAGGAAAGCTGATCTGTGATGTAAAATTTCTTGTGAATAATTTTTAAAAAACCCAATTAGACAGCAGGGTTGACAATAACTGGCCACAAAGAGAATCCAACTAAAAAAAATCTTACTATCCAGGATAGTATAATTCAACCAACATGATTATACTATAAAATACCAAACATATCCCTCCTTTTTTGTTCCTTCACTTTAAAAAATAAAACAAAAAAACCAGAGAACTTTTTTCCTCTTCTTCTAAAATTTATTTCATTTCATAAAAAGTAATTCATGTGAGTAATCTGAAAATAATGTCTGAAGGCTTTTTGAAAGTCTTCTGTTTCTTTGATTAGAATGAAACAAAAAACTTTTATTAACTTTCAAGCTAATTACTAGCTAAAAAGCAGCCCTGTAACCTCCACAGCATTTCATTTTCACTAGCATTGAAGTAATGTATTATCTCCTATTCTTCTAATGGGTCTTGATTTTCCAAGTATACAGACCATAAAAGTATGCAGTACTATACACCGTGTTGAAAAAGTAAAATAAGTAAATACTATAAAATATAGAAAATTTGCTAAATAAATACTATCTTTCACAGTTAACTGAACATTTTAGTAAATTACAATAGTTTTGTGGTCATATCAATAGAGTAATGCTTTCATTTTCTAATTTGTCTTTCTCTCAGTATAGCACTTTTATGAATTATGTTTATGACAACGAAAGGCAGCTAGATGGCAGCATGGATAGAATGCAGGCCCTGGTGTCAGGAAGACCTGAAGTCAAATACAACCTCAGATACTTAGTAGCTGTGTGATCCTATGCAGGTCACTTGAACTCTGTGCTCCAATTTCATCACTTTTAAATGGGGATAATTGCACCTAACTCCCTGGACTGTTATGAGGATAAAATGAAATATTTATAAAGCACTTTCCAAACCTTAAAAGTGATATACAACTGCTAGCTATAGATAGCTATCTTTCAATATGGAGCATGGAATGAAACCAATTTAATTTCACCTCTGAAAAAGAATAAATAAATGAGTGAGCAAAATAGCATTTTTAATTGCTTACTATAAAGATCACTATGCAAAACATTGGAGAAACAGAGTGAAAAGTATAGATAGCCCCTGCTCTCAAGGAGCTCATATTCTAATTCGGGAGACAACACAGACAGGGGTCCCATGGTCCTTAAGGTGTAATGGTAAAGCAGATAGGAATGTCTGTGCTAAAATCTGATAAAATCATAACATCATTTGAGAACTCCAAGGAAACTGGTGGGAAGGCCTGATGTTTCCATCTTCACAGTATCTCTTGTATTCATCCCCTCCTCTTCTGACATAGCTACCTTCATCAGCTCACCACTGCAATAGCTTCCTGGGTGGTCTCCTTGCCTCCATTCTAGCCCATTCTCTACTCAGTTGACAAAGTGATCTTAAAGTCCAGGTTCTGTTAAAGTACACTCTCCTACTTAATAAATTCCAGTGGCTCCCTCTTACCTCCAGAATCAAATATCAAGATCTTCTGATTAGCTTTTAAATCCCTTCACAACCTAGCTTCTTTCTACCTTTCTTGTCTTCTTTCACCTCATCCCCACTTTACATACCCTATGATTCCATGATACTGGCCTTCTGGCTGTTCCTCGTACAAGATGTTCCAACTCTTTTATACCACAAAAGAGCTGCTATAAATATTTTTGTACATTGGGACACTTTCCTTTGATCTCCTTGGGGTATAACCTAGTAGAGATTTTGCTGGGTCAAAGGGCATGCACAGTTTTATAGCCCTTTGGGCATATTTCCAAACTGTTCTGAAAGGCTGAACTAGTTTACAGCTCCACCAATATGCACTCGCAGAATTTTAAGACTGATTAAATATGAGAGGTTAGGGAGAAAAGAACTAAAGATAATAAAACTGTAACAAACATAGGAGAAGAATTAATGGTGGTGCCAGAGACAGACAGCAGTGAAGTAAAAAGAAGTAAAATTGAGGGAAAAGCTTGGTTTTAGACATGCTAAGTTTGAGGTGTTAGTGGGATATACAAGTGGAGAGAAATGTCTTGTAGGCAATTATAGACATATGAGTCTGGTGCTTAAAAGAGAGATCAAGATTGGTGATAGACATTTGGGAGTTATCTACATAAAGATGGTAATTGAAGCCAGAGAGGCATGAATGAGATTGCCAAGGGTGATTGTAATAGTGAAAAAAGGTAAAGGATAGACAGTCTTGGGACATCCAGATTATGGAGTTGGGAAGAGAATGAGGATCCAGTGAAGGAGATACAGGCAGGTGAAAACCACAGGACTATGAAAACTCTGAAGCAAAGGGAGAAAAGACTGTAGGATTAATAGTGTGATTAATAGTATTAAAAGCTAGAAGGATCAAAGAGAATGAGGAAATTATTAGAAGGTCACTGGATTTTGCAACTAAATCATTGGTAATCTATTTAAGAGCAGCAAAATAACTGATACCCTAAAGTAGGCATGATGGTAGAGTCTCAAATTCTGAGCAAAAATGGGTGTCAAAATTAATGGCTTCAATAAGAATTAAAATATGGTCTAAGAGGAAAAGGAATAGGGAAGGAAAAGCAGTTAACAGTTATTTATCAAAACTTAGTGAAGCTCCCTACTAACCTCCTCTTGGCAATATCCAATCAAGATTTTTGTCCTTTTACTACTTGAGAGGTTGCACCATGTAGTGGAAGTACAATGTCCTAGTGGCAAAGGCCTTGGGTTGGAATCTCAACTTGTCTACTTACTAGGTGTGTAACTTGGGGTAAGTTCCTTACCTCTTTGGATGTGCTTCCTCACATATAAAAGGAGGAGGTTGGTTAGATGACTCCCAAGGTCCTTTCCAGCTCTCAATTCTAATTATACTCTTATATTTAGGTTTAAATGATTTACCACCTTTCCCTTTTTTCGGGGGGTGGGGTAGGACAGGAACATAACTTCTTCATTTTCCAGTTTTAAAGAAAGGATTTACTTATTTTCCTTTTCCTTTTTTTTTTAAAGTTTATTTTATTTTCAGTTTCAAACTCTCTTCCTCTCTCAACTTCTCCATCACCCATTGAGAAGGCAAGAAATACAACACTCACTATACATATGAAGTCATGCAAAACATTTTCACGTTACCCGTGTATCAAAAAAAGAAAAACAAAGAGAAAAAATATATTTCAGTCTACACTCTGGGCCTATCAGTTCTCTATCGGAAGGTGGATGGTATTTTTCATCATGAGTCCTCTGGAATTGTGGATTTGGATCACTGTGCTGATCAAGGTTTACTAAGTCTTTACAGTTGATTATTTTCCTTTTATTTTTCTAACCACTCTCTCGTCTTTCTCCTCTTCTTTTCAATGATTTTTCATTTTTGTTTTGATCATCAATTAAAAGAAATAGTAGAAAAAAAATTGATTCAGGAAACAGAAGACCTAGGATATCTACTAGTCATGTGACTGTAGGAAATTGACTTAACCTCTCTGTGTTTATCTTTAAAATGGGGATATCAATGACATTTACATGATACTTACTTTAGATATCTTCCATTTTATATGTGAGAAAATGGAATTTGAGAAAAGCTAAGTAGCTTCCATAGGGTCACAGTATGGGGGAGGGCTGGATTTGGACCAAGATTTTCTTACTATAGCACATTACCATGTGAGGAAAAATCTTTGTATAGATCTAAGTTATTACTAATCATGGATCTTCATTCCCCAAAGCTGAATCCTAGGATCTAACACACTCAGATAGTTTTATCTGCCACCTGTATCCCAGTGATTATAGCATACCCTCTTTTCTGGTCTTACATTACCAGTTTTTTCCACTGAGATTTTGCACCAATTTTAACAAGTATAAAGCATGTTGCCCCCAACAAATGGAAATCCTTTTGACAATTTCCCCTTTTCCTCAATTTTGCCATCTTTCACAGAATCATAGACTTTCAAACCTGGAAGGGACCTAAGATAACAATCTATTGCAATGTGGTTACTTTACAGGTGGGGAAACCGATGCAATGTGCTTTGCCCAATGAAACAGTAAATTTACTGATAGCTTAGAATAGAACTCTAATTCTTACTTCAGTGTTCCTTCTACTTCACCATGCTGTATCTTCTCAGATCACAATCTTGGAGCCAAGTTAAACTTTTTTCCATTAAACTCCTCATCTTTTAATTCATGACCAAGTCCTTATCATTTTTTCCATTGTTATTAATATTGAATCCTTCCTATTCACTTTATTTCCACTTCCTGGATCACCTCATGCTTGTATTGTAACAGCTTCCTAGTCATTCAGCTTCCATGTTCTCTCTCTATACTCACACTCCAGTTAAGTGTAGCTCTTGTGCAACGTCACAAACTCCATCCATCAAGTCTGCCTTGATCAGACTGCAGCCCACAAAGATCCTTCCCTTCTTCTGCTCACATTCTGCACTGAGCCCTAGAGTTGGAAGAGTCTTTACAAGCCATCCAGTTCAGCCTGGAACTGAACAAAACAAATTACTCCTTTTGCTTGAATGTGTCTAGAAGGAGGTAAGCCATTCCATTGGAGCAGGGTTCCTGACATAAGCCAAAATCTGCTTCTCGGCAACTTCCAATCCAGTATTTCTATTGCGACCGTCTCATTCCTCTTCTATACAACAGCCCTTCAAAAAGCTGAAGACAGCCACCATGTTCTTAGTAAAGCTTCTCTTCTCCTATCCAACATCCCTAGCTCATTCAATCAAACTTTCAGGACAACTGGCTTCCAACTTTTATTCCCCTCTTGGCTGTATTTTTTACTTTCCAGACTTAAATATCATGACTCAGTTAACATGACTCACCCTGGAATTTCTCTCAGCACCTGGGGCCTCCATCCATCTACTCCTGTGACTTCTCTGCTGGACCATCTCTCTGCCATGCCAGTCAATTTTAGTTAGCCTTCTGGCTATGCTTCTGATTTTCTGGACTCCAGTACTATGAAGTGGTGCTGTGGGATCCTTGTCTTCTGTTCTCCTTGACTCCCCTGCAGCTCCCTTTTGGGTCTTTTGTGTGTTGTCCTCTCCAATTAGAATATAAACTCCTTGAGAGCAGGGCCTTTGTATCCCCAGCGCTTAGCACATAGTAAGTGCTTAATAAATGCTCCTTGCCCTGTCTTGCCTACTCTGAATGTTTTCTATCTTATCACTGTCCTTTCTAAAAATGTGTTATTAAGAGCAGAACACAACCCCCCTGATGTGGTCTGATCAAGGTGAAGCATAGTAGGAATAAAACCTCCATGGTCCTACTATCTCTCCTCCATGCCAGTCAAGGTTTTCATTGGCTTTTTAAAAATTCAATTGTTCTATTACTGTAGGTCCTTGATAGAATTTAAGCTTATTGAGGGTACAGGCTATTCTGTTTTTGCCTTTATATCCCCAGTGCCAAGTACAGTTAAGCACATAGTATGTACTTAAAAAGTCCTTATTGATTGTGCAGTTGCCTTATATGATTTATTCTAGAAATTTGACCTTTTAAAATATGTTTTTCTTAGGATCATAGGTTTTAAGATCCAGAAAAGACCTCAGAGATATAACCGAGATTTAATTATATTAGATTGTAAACTCCTTAAGGGCAAGATTTTTCCTCTTTTTTGTGTCCCCAGCACTTAGCACAGCGTCTGGCACATAGTAGGCACTTAATAAATGTTAACTGAATGAATGAACTTTACAGAAGACGAAACCACAGCAGAGTGAGGTGGTACCTGCCCAAGCTCGATCAGGCAGTAAGCAGCAAAGCCAGGCCTTTCTAAACATCTCATATCTTAGAGACAACGTGGCAAACTGGGAAAGGTGCTAGACCTGGCTTCAGAGGGGTACTGGGTTTGAATTCTGGTTCCCTCAGGTATTAATTAGGACTTTGGCCAAATCACCTCACTTCTCTAATCTCAGTTTCCTCATCTGGAAAAGGTGGATGATACTTGTCATACTCATCTTACACGTGGTGAAAAAAGTAATTTTGAAACCTTAAATTCACTAAGTAAGTATATGAATTCTTATGCTGTGATTGAGATTTTTGTGAACAGGTAGCTTTTTGGTTTTGAAGCTATAATCAAAGCACTTTTGCTATGAACAGTTTCAAATAAATAAATATATGTTATTGCATATATATATAAATATAAAATATATATGTGTATGTATGTGTATATATAGGCATACACATACATATATGTATGTATAACCTTTTTTTTAAAGAAGTTACACTCTATCAAAGAAAATTCCTTACAGCAGGCATTTTCCCTAGCTACATAACATACTGAATGGCAGTATCACTTGGACTAACCTCAGTTTGTTTATGTCTTATGTCATTAGCTTGCTAAATGACAAATAAACTCAAGAATGGTTACTCTTACCCAAAATAGAAGAGTATGACACAGGCATAAGACAGGATTCCTTGCACTTTAATTGAGCTTGTTACAACTCTGATGAGCTAACAAAAAATGCAAAGAGAAACAAATCAATCATCATTAATACTTTATTTAGACACCAACCCACCTGCCTCTTATTGGCTCTTTAGGATTTTCCCGCACTGATGGGAATACTCTTGTGGTACTGACCAATAGTTACCCGAGTAGATGGACCTCCTATACATCTAGAGCTGTCCAATTTGTGACAATTTCTTGTAGGGAGCAGTTTTTGGCTTGATCAGGCAAACCTAGGAATAATAAGCTTCTGAATTTGTCTAAAACACACAGATCTTTCAGTAGTACAGCAGTGTCCCCATATTTTTTGTTTCTTATTTTCAAATGCTTTTGCTTCCATATTTCTTATTAGAAGGTGTTAAGCCCTACAGTCAGAAGCCGCTTGGACTGATGCAATGGCAACTTAATAAGGTTCTTTAAATTTTGTCTAATATTAAAATTTTGACACAATCGGAGAATTTAAGGTGATTTCTTCTTATTAAAGTTCTTTCTACTAGGGCCAGAGGAAATACACATACTCCCACCCAACCATCCTCATTCTCCATTTTCTCCTTCAGTAAGTTCTCCCATATCTGGCCTCAGCTTTTGTCTTCTATGATATTATTTTTCTTTTTAACTACCACTCTGTCCCCTCTACTAAGCAGGACCTTAAAGAACAGGATGACTCCAGAATATGGCCCTGCTTCCTACAAAACTAATTATCATCATCTGGGGCCAAGAAATAGGCTGAGAATGTGTTTTTAAGACAGATAGTCATGTTTATTTTCCCATAGGCAGACAGATGAATAAACACTGAGTTTTTAATTTAGTGTATGAATTTGCTGGTACTCTTAAAAAAATGTAAACAAATATAAATGATACAATTGTGTTGGCTTGATACTCACATATGAGGGAAGAAGACAAGCCTTTATTAAAAACCACTATGTGCCAGAAACTGTGTTAAGTGCTTAAAAAATACATCATTTGATCCTCACAATAAACCTGGGAGTTTTGGTTTTTTTTTTTTTTTTTGGCTATTGCAGAAACTGAGGCAAACAAAGATTAAATGACTTGCCCAGGGTCATATAGCTAGTAAGTGTCTGAGGCTGCATTTGAACACAGGTCTTCCTGACTCCAAGCCTAATGCTCTGTACACTATGGCGTCCCCAGCTACTCCTCTGCAACGCTGCAAAGGACAGAGCTGAAGAGAGGGCAATTTATAGATAAATGGAGATATTACATTTTAGAGTAAGTCCAGTTTCCTTTACAATTGTTTTAAGGTCTTCTCATGTTATTGCTAATCCTTAAGGATGCATTTTGAAAGGATCAGTGAAACCTAACATATGCAGTTATTTGATGTGAAAATAAAATTATTTATTCATTTAATACATTAAGTATATACACCAGTAGAGAAATCCTGTAGGATAAAAAATAAGCTTTCTGATTCAAAATTCTAAAAGTTTCTTTCTTTTGGAAGAATTAATAAACTTATATTCAGTAAGTTCATTGGAAAGTCAAATTAATACTGCACAAGCCAGGCCAAAATTTTTTTTAAACAAATGAGCCAATGATTAATCTGTAGTCAAATCTCTAAGGGAAACTTTTAATATTGCAAATCCATGCAAACAATCTATGTAATTACAATTTTTCTTTTTTAGTACTTTTCCTTTATTTGGAAAAGGTTTTTTTTTTAAATTCTTAAATAGTAAAAATTGGTAAAATCAAACTATTTTTTTAAAAAGTTAGAAAAAATGAATAAATTGGCTTAGTTTTTCTTCTTTGTACTGCCCCCTCCTTCCACTATGATATGAGGTAATTTTAATCAATTATAAGCCTAATTCTGTATGTTTCTTATTATGTGGCTTCACAACTCCACAGTAACTTTTAGTGGCTGAGCTTGCTTACTAACTGGACCTTAGGAAATGTCTTCTTCTTAGAAAAGTCAGGACTCAAAGATATAATCATTTCTACCAAGTTATGGTGCTATTTTTTGGCCTAAAGACAGATGTGTACAAAAGAGAATCACCTCAACACCACCACTACATAATTAAGGAATCCCTATTAATAACACAGGATGCTTTTCTGAAACAAATTTTTTTTCTAACATTACTACTAATCTAACATTACTACTAATTTAACTCTTTTGGCAGAATAGTTTTAGAAGATCATGCAAAAGAACACAGTTAAAATTTTAGAAAAGTTTATAAATGTCTAAATTTTAAAATCTGGATGATAACTGCCACAAAATAAATGAGTAGATTACTGGAAGTCTGTTGTTCTAAGTAAACATCTGTGATACTGGCCAAAATGGATAAAGGTTTAACTGGCAGAGCAAGTTCATCTTTTAGGAAAGCAATCACTTCCAAGCCCTCTTTAGCCCTCAGGCAATTTATGTTTATCCTTAGATTTAGCATATGAAGATGTTTCAGTTAATATCTATTCAATTTCATTCCTATCACTTCAGCTTGGGTATTTAGAATAGAAAAATAGGTATTTCCAGTTGCAAAACTTGAACATGTGCCTCTTTATGTTTTTACTAGTTCATAAACTCTTTTTTCTTGTTTGCTTATAAACTTTTTTAAAGGGTTAAGATGTTCTTCAACATTAAATTTTCTTGTATTACAAGAGTTAGCGCCTAATCTCCCCTATCTTTCAAAGCAAGGAAAATCATACAATATAAACTATTTGTACAATTTTAAAACAAAATTTGTCAAGGTATTCCAATCTGGATTTCATGGAAATAAAAATATCAATAAGGCAGTCAAATGTTCATAACCAAAAAGAAAACGGGTAGTAAGTCTAAAATAAATTTAATGCAATCTACCACTTCTTTTGTGTCATTCTTCATTTGGTTTTCTTTAGATTCTGTGTTTACAGGGGAACACTAGTTATATTTTCTATAGAAAGATGCTTATACTATCTTCCCTTAAAACCATGAGGTTAAGTAGAAAGAAAGGACATGGACAGATGTGGACACAAACAAAAACAACTATCATGGCTTGATCTAAACTGGGCGGGGATAACAGCACCTGAAAACTATTAGCATGTCTACACTGTCACTTAATTAGAATGCTCCTAGTTGTATGAACAAATGTACCTGTCACTCTCCAATGAAGCTCCTCCAAAGGACCCAACAACCGAAAGAATATCAATACTTAAAATTTAGATTTTTCCTCTACGCCGTGATAATGTTTTTTTATGTATGATTTTCCAAGTAATGTTAGACTCCTTGGAAACAATCTTATTGTAACATATTCATTAATACTTTAGAACTTTAAAAATAATTAGTACGGCCACTGTTTCACTGGGGGAATAGAGGAAGAGCAAATCACAAGTGAAGTTTACTAAACTGTAGAGTTACTCTGGTGAAATTATTGATCACTGAAGCATTTGAAGTATTAAGATACAATTTCTACTAAAAAAGGGGGGGGGGGATGTACAAGATACTTACTAAAACAGCCAGTGGGAGAGGAATAAAGCCCATTCTCCGTGCAACAGAATCACTGTAATCAGTGTATGCCTAGAAAGAGAAAGAATAAGCCAATTTCAAATTTTCAATAAACTACTTTAAAACATTTTATTTTGCAACTGCTGCTACTTGTTAGTAAATATCAGGCAGGTAAAACTTAAAGTAAGTGGACAAGAAACTTTAATGGTTTTCAGTACAACTAGTGAAACAAGAAAGCTTAAAATACATTTTAAATACAAAGGTATTTAGAAGATAATGTAATTAAAGATAGTAAAGTAAACAAATGAATATTGATCCAAACATTGTTCTTTAGCTTATAAGTTATAAGGAAATTTAAATGTTGCAATTTTTCTTGGCTGACATTTAAAAATTCCAAAGGCGGCATATTCCAATGCCTTGTCATGGTGTAGAGATGACTCTGAGTTCTCAGTGCAGTGTAAGCAGCTAGACAGGCTTTGGAGATGGACATGGCAATGATATCTCCAACTATCATCTGAAGACCAGCCTAGTTCGGTGACACTGATTGCCAGAAAGTTTGCAATTGGTTGATGAAAAATTTTTGGTCAAGTAATTCACAAAGATTGTCTACTAAAGCAGAGAATAGTTTTGCTATGATTGGGAGAATCTTCATCTCCATAAAATCTTGTATCCTTTAAGTAATATGTCCAAACTGCATTTAATAGACCATTAATTTATATCAGAAGACACTTTTTATTTAATACTTACATTTTTCTGGCGGCTGCTAACAAGGTCAAAAGCAAGGCTAGCTCTGTATTCACTGTAGACCTGAAAAAAAAAATTGAAAACAAGAAATATAACTCCTTATGGCACATGTGGGAAAATAAGTGTTTATCTGTGAAATATAAATTATACCTAATGTCTTTAAATTATATCTGACATAGTAACAGACAGAACATTTAGAATATTATAAAATTCACTGATCTGGCCAATGTCCAAGTTTGGTTATGACTTGATATTTCATGAAATGCTTGGTTTTGCCCAAAGTACAATAATCTTGCCGCCAACACAAATGTGGCAGATTACAATAGTTGGGCTGCCACTTGAAATGCAAAACAAAAAATCATCCTTAATTTTTGCTGATTTTGAGGATGAAATGCTATGTGCCAGAAAAGGGCTAATTCCCAAAATGTGTTTTTGTGTGTAGCATTACCAGAGAATAGCACTGAACCCAAAGACAAAATATTAAGAGCAAAGATGCCCAGATAATTAATTTGTCTTTTCAGATGACATAATTAAAGTTATCAGAGTTGAAGGTATGCAAAAAAAAAAAAGCAGGGGCAGGAGCAATACTAACCATGGCTCTCATTAAATTTAATCTAATTTGTCATATTTTCCCAATTCACTTCTATTTGTATATAAACATGATTCTCTTATTTTTTACTATATAAAATGTTATTAAATCATTTCAAAAAATGTATTTCCTGGATCAAAAGGTATTTGTTGCAAATAAGAGTACTATGCAAATACATACAATGTGCATATATACTCATAATCAAAAAATGTCAAGAAGCTGGAGATTTCAGGCACTATATTCTAAGGTATTTTAAACAATATTAATTCAGACAAAGATGAACTGTTAAGAATTCTAATGTCATATATAAAAATACTATTGCTTAACTTCCTTGAGCTTCTTAAGGAATATATTTTGAAGATATGCATATATTTGCCAATTTGAACAGCAAATACTAAATCCTTCAAATCTACTCTATGAACTTTACTTTGATATAGAGAAAATGATTTTATTAATGGAAATTTTTTGCTGTTCTCCTTAAGGCAACAAAGGGGTAAAAAGGTAAAGTGATTCTTTTTATCAGTATCTGGAAATTACTATTCTAACTTATTATTCTAGTTACATATTCTAACAAAAATATATAAAATAAAGCTTTAAATATACAATAATTCAAACAGCAAACTGTAGAACTTCACAGCTGAAATTTATCCCATTATTATTTTTTATTTCTACATTCTTATGTAAAAGCAGGACAAATGTAAAATCCCTGTGGTCTGCTTATTAAATGCATCACAGTATAATATTCATAAAATCACTAAAACAGATAGCATTTCTATATTTGACCCCATTGTAAGAGGGAAATAAGAGAAACCTACATGAACAAAAAGAATTCCTTTTCTACCATGCCTTTAACATAGCTACATCAATATGCTCCATTCTAGAAAGATTACAATCATAAAATAAACTTCCCCAAATGTAATCAAATCCTTTTGATAGGAAAACCAAATTCTGCATGCATGTAGAAACTGGAAGAATAGATGTTATGTGGTATTACACTGAAGCAAAAAGAAAATGTATTTAATCTTAGATTTTAAAAACACAATAAAAGGCATTTCTAATTCTGAGATAAAAATAAATGAATAATCTTCAGTGATACAAAACACCTTTCTTCTATTAGTCTTCATATACATTATAATTTAATGCTACATTAAAGAAAAACTGAAAATATTAAAACACAAGTCAAGCTAAAACTCTCAGATCATTATGACAAACATACATCTGCAGTAATGTCATTGAATTTCGTGATAAAGGCATGCTTTACAATATCCACAGCAATTTCTGAGGCAATCACCATGCAGACATCTGGAAACAATACCCAAAGGTGATCTATAAAATTAAGAAGAAAACCAAAGTCAGATAATCACCGTGTGCTTCCACAGCAGTTTAAAATCTTCAAAGGGAGAACCTCTTGCATTTTAAATTAATAAAATTAAGTTTGGTTTTTATGGAATTATCCTCGTAAACATCTTCCCATTGATAAAACAGTTATATTTTAGCCCAAATTAAAGGAACAATTACAACCCGTAGGTTACTTTGTAAATCCTCTGCTGCTGCAATCCACCCTCCACTCAACTGCCAAGGTGACTTGTCTAAAGACAGGCTGACCCCACCTGCTTAATGAACTGCAGTGACTCCCTATTACCTCTGGGTTCCAATAGAAACTCCTCTTTTTGGCATTAACCTTGCCCATTTCTGCCTTTCCTGTGTTCTTACACTTTAATCCCCTCTATGAGCTCTTAGGCCCTTCTACATTGATCTACTTGTAATTCACCACATAAGACTCTCCATCTCCAGTCTCTAATTCAGTGCAGTGATTGCCCCCTATGACTCGAATGCTCTGCCCTCTTACTTCCTCTTCTCAGTTTCTCTGGCTTCCTTGAAGACTCAGTCAATTCAAGCCCCACCTACTGTAGGAGTCTTTTCCTGGTCCCTCCAGCTACTGGTGCCTTCTCCTCTCATATTACCTTCCATCAATTCTGTATGTATCTTGTATGTCCCTGGTTACTTAAATGTCTCTTTGATTAGATCGTGAACTCCTTGAAGGCACAGACTAGTTTTGCCTTTCTTTGACTCATTTATGCTTATTAGCAAAGTGTCTGGTACGTAGCACTTAATTAATGTTTGCTGATTAACTCTCTAGTTTTACCTATAGATGGGTGACATAGCCAGCTAAAAAAGTGATATGCTTCCAAAATCACTTAATATACTTAGATAGAACTAGGCAACTGTTTTTGGAGAATTATAATCAATAACTGGTGATTCTTCAAGTCAACTTAGCAAGTAATGACTCCAAATGTAAAGCAATGTGAGGAATACAAAGTATAACGTAGAATTTCTGTCCTTAAGGAGTTTATAATGGGATTACATCAAAGATTTCATGAATACCTTATCAAGTATAGAGCAGACTTTTTGTTATAGATACAACTATCAAAGATCTATGGCAAATAAGTCCAGGGCTCTAACATTCACATTTTCTCTAAAAACCTCCTTTTAACCAATAGTGAGAAATCATATATAGTCATGTGGCTAAACAGAAGTGAAAGTCTAAAAGACAAATCTCCCAAAGGAAGCTTCAATGGCCCTAGATAAGCTCCAATTATGAAAAACACGTTTTGAATAAATATTGAAGAAATAAAATTTTTTTCTAAGCATGCAAACAATTCCTTATCCTACAAAGGTGTAGAAGAAGGGGGAAATAAAAAATAGACAGGCCAGGTAAACTTTGACTTTGTAGTGCTTAAGGTTCTAACCCAAATTTATACCTTCATTCACCATCTCAAGAGACATTTGTTAACATATTTTGTTACAAGACTTATGGTAAATTGTAAAATTCAAACTATTGCAGATGATTTAGAATAATGCCATGGTACAAGGAAAACAGACTACTTAATTCAACAAACATTATTAAATGTCTACTATGTGGATTGCATAAAAATGAAAAGTACTGAAGAAACAAGAACAAAAACAAATAAATTCCATTTACAACTTCAAGAAGCTTATAGTCAAATGTCAATGGTAGGGGGGATATTGGGGGAACAGTGCGATATGTATACAAATAAGTATGACACAAGATAGGCATGTAAGGGGGGCAAAGAAAGCAATGTAGTAAATTGGAAAGAATATTGGATTTAGAGTCAGAGGGCCTCAGTATTTGTATCTTCTAAATGAGGAGGCAGGACTTAATCATCTCTCTGGTCACTTTTGGCTATGATTCTATGAGAGATCCAAAATTAAACTTTGGACATGTTGAATGTAAAGTGCCTGCGGGGCAGCCATATGATTTCTATCAATCAAGTGGAAAGAGAGGACTGGAGCTTAGGTAATATATTAGGGCTCGATATTATAGACTTTGGAGACATTTATATTGAACCATCAACTGAAGTCATAAGAGTAGATAATATTTTCAAAAGACAGTGTGTATTCAAAGAGAAGAGTGTTGAGGACAGAGCCTTAGGGACCATCCTCGCTTGTGGTTCCTTAATAATCATAGTGGTTTCAAGTCCTTTAGCTTCTCTCCCATCTTTTCTGATTGGAGGATTTTAATTCACAAATTGCTTTTAAATAGTCACGTCAGCCTAACTTATAAATGTCTGCAGATTTATGAAATGAAAAATGATAATCACTAACATGGAAATCAAACACGAACATTTAAAATCAGGGGAGAAAGTAAGAACTGAAAGAAGACAACAGGATAGGGGAGGGGGGAGGAAAGCAGAGAGGATGATATCTACACCAAGGTTCTTGGCTAGTATTTGTCCACCTGTATTTACATCTGGAAGGGGGTTTCTGTTTCATTCCTTTAGTGTTCTGGAACTGAGGAGTTTGTAGCAGTCACTGAAGGTTGTTTGCCAGGTAGGAAACTATCACATATCTGTTTGCACAGTACTGGTTTCCTGATGACTGTAGAGAATTTTTGTCATTAAAGGATTTAGTGTAAACCAGCCTGCTCCATTTAAAAAACTCCAAATCTTGGAAACACAAACATGTATCTTTCTCTCAAGCAGAAAAAAAAAAATTTCACTTTGGATAAGGAGGTAGTCATCCAGGAGCTTGGCTTTTAAGATAAGATTTCCAATTAAGATGTTTGCTGGCATCAAGGACTCTGGCCATGATTCTTATCCAAGACTGCCAGGTGTTTGTGGAATTAGGTTTAATAAAATTGAATTTGAAGAGACACTCTTCTAGGCGTTGCCTTTTAGAGTAAACGTTTCGCTCCAAATGCAATTTTTTCCATTGTTCTGTTGAAGAGAAGTCCAACTCTTAAGACATCACCTTGCCACGTGAGGATTTGTTTTGTTGACACAATTCCAAGTATAGCCAGGTCTTCTGCTATATAGCATGGTGGAGGGAAAAGAGTGCTGGTTATGGAGGCAGTGGAGCTCAAGTTTAACCTTGGCTCTGTCACTTACTGCCTATGTGGCCTTGGGGTAGTTTATTTCTCTCTGGGCCTCAGATTCTTCATCTGTAAAAAACAAGAGTTAGGGGAGGTTTCGCCTAGATGACCTCTAAGGTCTCTTCAGGATCTAAACTTAGGATCCTTGACAAATGATTTTCCCTGTTTCTTCATCCTGAAGGTTTATTCCATTTGGTAATGAAGCTCTCAAGATTTCCAGGGCTATTTGCCCTTGGCAGACATTATGTAGTAGCAATGGCAGCCCCGGTGGCTCTAGGTGGAGCTTCCCTGGAGCAGGTCACCTGAAGTGACAGTGCCAGGAGCTGAGGACTGAGACCAGCAGAAAGGAGAAGTGAGAACTAAGGTAAGGGATGGAAGGATATCATGATGAGCACTTATTACATCTTCATAATCCCCAACTCATGGTTTCAGGGATTGGGAAAAGACTAAGTCAACAAGGCACATTTAAAATGGCTGGGAAAAACACCTACAATCCTTGAATCGGGTTAAGTTTGAATTTTCTCTTACATGTACATAAATTAGATAAAGCTGAAAATGTATTTCTTAAAAACTTCAGTAATTATTTTATTCCATTTTTAAGTTTTAATTCAAAAGCAAAATTAAGCTTCATCACAGTTGGTAAATGTTTAATTACCTGGATTCCAAGAAAATTGTTCCATATTTCTTAGACATACTATTAGCAAGAGCACATAATTTGTGAATCGTTCCTTAATATCTAAAAAACGAGAAATATAAAGAACATATTTAAAATTTGTTTCAATAAATATTTATTAAATATATACTACACATAAAGTAATGTGAGAGGTGTTACAAGGGCATTGGTCTGACATTGTGAGTTAGATAGTTAATTGAAAATAGTATAAAATACACATGACATTGATGAATTAACCCTATTGGACCTAAGTTTTCTCACCTATAAAAATAAAAGGTTTACTAGACAATGTGTAGGATACCTTCTCACTCTATCCTCTACAGCTTACAACAAAATGGTATATCTACTACAATCAGGGGTGTACTGATAAATGCTTAAGAATTGGGGTTCTGAAAAAATGTGCACAAGCTATATTTTAAAGTTTAACCTGCATTATTAATATTTTCTTCATCACTTTATTAAGTCTTGACAACTAACAATGTATGGAAATGGTAGTTTTAGTTGAATCGTATAAAAATCAGATTGGCAATTTATTGGTAGTTTGCCTTACTAGAATCATGAGATTTAAGACTGTCTTCTTCCTTCCTCTTTCCCTAGTCGTTCCTGTGTCCTCTGCCAACTAGGGATTCAGCTGTACCAGCACTATCCCTGATTTAAGTGATGTATCTACTCCCCCCTCCCGTCCCTCTTATTGTTGTTGAAGTTCAGTCATTTCAGTAATATCTGACTTTTCGTAACCCCATTGGGGTTTACTGGAGTGGTTTGCCATTTCTAGTCACTCCAGAAGAATAGTCGGAACAGCAGCAGGCTGGAGCTGACCAACACCCAGAATCCTCTTCCTGAACAGCTGCAGCAAAAGCGCTGAAACCTCCACTCCTCCATCAGGCAAGAGTGAATATGGCACTCTATCTTTGGCCCTTGCCCGAAAACACACAGTGGAAAATAGGAGCTTTAATTTTCAACTGCCCCCATCACTACCCTCATAGCTAACAATTTCCCTCCACTTTTTTCCATTCTAACCTCTATATTAATCAGCTTCTAGCCACATAGGAGAAAACAAGAAAACAATCCCTAATCCCCATCTCCTATTCTCTCATTCCCATCTTCCTCAACACTATCAGATCTATTTTCTTTCTAACTAATAAGCCTTTATCCACAATTTTCCTGAAGTTCATCCATTCATTTAACAAATATTTCAGGTTTAACAACTGTGCCAGGCATCAGACGTTGCTACTGCCATAAAAGAGAAATTGTTTATAGAGATTTCCATTTTGTAGTTTACCTTCCCCCTTCGTCCACTTATAGGTGAGGAAGTTCCTCTACCAGTGAAAGTTAGCAACCTCTGTACAATTCATGAACCTAGAGCTGCCAAAAAGCATTAAGAAACTTAAGAGGCTTTCCTATGACCACACCAGCTTATATGTGCCACAGGTTTTCCTGGCTTTGAGGTTGGCTCTCTATCTACTATACAACACTGCCTCTTGTGGAATACAGAAGCACTATAAAAATATACAAAGTACACTATGAAAGAAAAAAAAGCTATACATATAAACATACTTTGTGATCTATAAGAACAAGATTCATATTCTTCAACTGATACATTCCAGAGTAGATGGCAGTGAAAATAGATGAAAGACTCAAGAATCCAAGGCATATTTTGCCTGGTGATCTTATCACTCCTATATTCTATGATAATGATTCTATGATCTATTTATCCATCCCTACCCACTTTTCTAATCTTCAGTCTCCCATCTCCAACTGTCCATTAGACATGTTAAAATGGATGTCCCATAGACATCTTAAACTGCACATGTCCAAAACTAAACTCACGTAAAGGGAATGACTAGAGAACTAGATGATGTTTACCTTTATCTTCTGATTTGAAATTCCTATAAATGCTAGTGTATTAGTAGATATAGGACTACTACATAGTGAGATATGATAATTTCTATGTTCTTAATTTTTATGAGTGCATGTAACTTGGTTTAGTCATGGCAGCAGGGAAAGTTTTTCACTTATAACCTATCTCGGACTTCCCAGAGGCCACACAGAACCCTTTATTCCCTCCCTTTCATGTGATACACACAAGCATCACTTCCATATATAGCCCCTGCCAAAATCCCCATTTGTAGACCCCTGCTACAAAATGGGGAAAGTTTCCACTTAACGCATTTATAACATGTAAGACTTACTAACAAGCAGAGCTATTCAAAAGTGGAAAAGGCTGCCTCAAAAGATAGTGTTTTACCTCATTAGAGGTCTTTTGTGCAAAGACTAGAGAACCACTTGCTAGATGTGCTCTTGAGGGGATTCTTGGACTAGATTGCCTGCTCGGTCCCTTCCAACTCATATTCTGGGAAGGAAATTTTCATTCTTTTAATTTTTTCGTAGGTTATGACATGTAGAGCTGTATGAAGACTTCTAACTCAGATTGAAGAGAGGTATTTAGTTCAGTTCAATCTATATTACTAATATGCATTTTTATATCACTAATATAGAGGTAACTGAATTAAACATATGTGTGTATAATATATATACACATATACATAAACATGCACATATGTGTGTGTATATATATGTGTGTATGTGTGTATATACGTGTGTATATATATATAAATGAACCTTCATTAAAACAGATGGGACCTTGACAACATACTTAAGTGCTTTTGTAAAGGACAGCTACAGTTTTAATATTTTTGTCTTTTAAAGAATGCAAAAATTACTATTAATCCATAATACTATTAATTTCAAGTGAAAGATTTCCTCAGGAAAACAGGTATTGTAAGCATTATATAAAGGGAAAGGCTAGGATGGGGACAATATTGGCTTTTTTAGTGGATTTTGAAGGGATGAAGGGACAACTCCAAATGGTCACTCTAACAAAATGCCACCATGTACCAGATATACTTATGCACATAATCATAGAATTTTAGCATAAAAAGGGACCTTAGTGGGCAACTAGACCAACCTTCCATATAACGCAGTAATTTTCTCTTCAATGTTCCTGAACAGGTGATGACAGGTGATATAGCAATAGAAATTACTTTACATAGGAGACAATACAATTTTGTGGATATTTCTAAATGCCAAAATTTCCATACACTGAAGATCTCTTTGATTTAAATCTGTATACTCGAAAAACATCATACTTAACTGCTGAAACATGAAAGGGAATAAATTATCTTGTATGATCAGTCTTGCACATAACGCACTTCTACGCTTATCTGTAATAATGTAGAGTTTGATGACGCATTTTTGCCTCATGACTCAATGGGCAAACTTAACCATTCAATTATGGATCAATAGACATTCAATTATAATAGCTTTTAAACTATATTGTTCTTTCTTATTCAGCTAAGGCAAAGCTAGTAACAAGAAAAAAGAAATAAGAAACTAAAAAAGGACACTAGAAGGAGAGCACTAAAAGGGAGATATGAATGCAAGTACAAGTCCTTCTTGCTTCCCAATGTGAAGCCTATAGAATCGTAGTATGCAGAACTGAAAGGGCTCTCAGGGATCTAGTCACACCTCCATTTTACTGACAAAGAAACTGAGATGCAGAGAGATGCAGTAATCTGCTCAGTATCACACAGGTACCAAACAGCAAAGCCAGGCCCTAGACATTTAGAGGAAGGCAACCAAAGATTGTGGGAGAATTGCCATCTTAAAATTAGGTGCAGAAGCTGGGGATGGTCATTTTAGGAAGTAAAATGTATGTGGGTACACAAATGCATACATTTGTATCATCAAGCAAGTTATCTCGTGCAAGAAGGATTAGAGTTCTGTTTGGCCACAGAGTGCAATTCTAGGAACAATGGATGGAAGAGGCATAAAGGCAGATTTCTCTTGATATAATGAAAAATCTCTTAAAATTTATGGGGTTATTCAAAAGCAGAACACGTTGCCACCAGTGGTAGGAGGTTACCCATCACTGGAGACCTTTAGCAGTGTCTGCATGGCCATTTTGGAGGGATTTTGTAAAGAAGATTAGTATTTGGGTATAGCCTATTCTAGAAGGCCTCTGACGTCCCTTCCAACTCCATGCAATATGGTTAGCTAGAAAACCTGGATTAGATGGTTGGGAAAGTCTAAGGAAAAAGACAGAGACTATTAGTTCACAGAAAAGTCAAAGATTCTTAGAGTTGGAAGGGACCTCACAGCCCATATAGCTCAAGTTATACCTGAACAAAAATCCCTTCTCATGTTAGATTAGATTTTCAGTATTCATGAAAAAGGCAGTTAGGTGGCACAGTGCATAGAGTGTTGGGCCTGGAGTCAGGAAGAATTATCTTCCTGAGTTCAAGTCTGGCCTCAGGCACTTACTAGCTGTGTGACCCTGGGTAAGTCACTTAACCCTGTTTGCCTCTGTTTCCTCATCTGTAAAATGAGCTGGAGATGGAAATGGCAAAGCACTCCAGTATCTCTGCCAAAAAAACCTCAAATGGGGTCATGAAGAATCAGACAAAACTGAAAATGACTGAACAACAAATTCATTAAAAAACGTGCATGATAATATAAATGGAACTTAAGATAGCTATTGGGACCCAGGCATTATACATACCACTATTGGACATTTGAAAGAGATTGTTCTTCTCAAACTTCTTGAAAACACTTCCTTTAATTTCAACAAACTGTAATTTCAAACAAAATGACTATATTTACAATCATATCAACAATTTCAACTGAAATTTTAAATACAGGTATCCTTAAGCCATGATTTTAACATACAACATTTTTGAAATAATGGATCTCTTATTAAATCAATTTAACTCCATTTAGAATTAGAGCAATAACATTAGAATTCTAATTTATCATATATCTTAATAGTGCTTGAAGTTATAAAAAATTTTCCTTCCACTTACATTATTAGACATCATGATAGTAAGCAGTGATTTGTTGTGTGAATTAAAAGCTACATTGAGAGTTGTTGCTTGAACCATAATGAGAATTGCATGTAAAACTGCCGATACTGATGTTAAGGAAAAATATTTTTTTCCATATCTTCTTAATGAGGACATAGTACAAAATATTTTCAAGACATTCAATGAGGAAAGAAGAACTGATCTATTCTATAACTCCTAAATAGATTTAATTTACTTTTCTTCATGATTTCCCTACTGGATAGTTGATAAACAGCAACACTTGTGAAATTTGGATTTAAAAAAACCCAACAAACTTTAATGCTTGTCCATTTAATTGTGCTTGAATGAAAATTCTAATTACTGTGCAAATAGAAGCTTGGAAGTTCAATATTAAATCATATGTTAATATTCCTAATTCATATTTTTTCTTACTAAAAGGAATGAGAAAAAGTTAACCCAGATATCATTGTGTTTTTCCCAAATAATATTTGATTCTTCATAGTCTTTTGTGAAGGCAGGATAATTGATTTTTAAAAAAAAAACTATAAAATCAGTTGGCATCCTTTCCTATGTTCTTTTTCAGAAGTACAAATGTCAAACACTACACAAATATTTAGTTTTTTACAGAATATTTACAGAATTCTTGCTTCATCTAGACTGACATGGTCCCTACTCATGTGTTAATCCTGGCATAGCAATTAGCTTTGGATAATTTTTTTCTATCATCAGTTAAGTATTTAATATTTAACTTTTCTGTCTCTAAAACTATGAGTTCACTAGGAGTGAAAAAACAAAATTTCACTCTTAAAGATGACCCTTCTAGAAATCAGAGGTAAAAACTGTGTTACTATTTGTATTATATCTATAGTATTCCAAAGCATTCTGATGATCCTACTTCCCATATAGGATTGGATGTGAAAGCATTACATTTAAACTTTAAATGTTTGTTCTGAATTGACCTCCACCAATACGAACTTTCACCAAAAACAAGAACAGTTCAGGAATAGAAAGAAAAAACTCACCAAAACCCCAATATAAGATACAACATGACATAGAAGACAAAGGGTTAGTTATGGAGGAAGGAAGAATTGAGTTCAAGTCCCATCTCTGAAATACTGGCTATCTCTAATTCTAGGTTTGTGGACAAGTTGTAGATCTGAATCAGGGAAAAGAGTTTTCATACTGGGAGTTTCCCCATACTGATAGAATCAAAGGTTTAGACCAAAAAACCCCAACAAGACTACACTGAAGCTTGAGAAATTCTCAAAAATTTCTCCCTACATCCCTCATACTTCAAACTCAGACTCATCTCAGGCATTTTAACCTAGAAGAAAAAAAAAGAGGTAAACAGGTCAATGAAAATAGGGTTAATTATAACGCTGAAGCAAGTATATTCAAAATAACTTGTTTAGGAGTGGCATTGTTTTCTTTTCATATTCTCATATATCTTTCTTTGAAAAACAAAATGAAATAACACCCCCACAAAAAAAACCCAAAACCTGAATATAGCTTCAATCCCATTAATATATTGTTTCTCATACTAAAGTTTAAAACTTATTTCAATGACAAAAAAAATTACAGTGGATGTATTCTGTCCTGGAGTTTGATTCTGTTCAGTGCATTTTCATAATGAAATCTCTTGTTTTATTATGTATCCCAAGTACTTACAAAGAATTTTAAAGAATTGTGAATCTAATGTTTGTTATATTGATTAAAATTATTCTTTTAAAATTCTAAAACATCTAGTTTCTCACAAGGAAATAATAGTCTTAAGTTGTATATAAATAAGGCTACTAGTTAATGTTTGTAATTACTTACAACTGCATATTCTAAGTAAATGAATTTGTCAATCAGTTGGAGTTTCCAGAAATTTTAAAAGGATACAGACATAAAGCACAGCCATGAAAAAATGAGGAATCAAACCAATATGGGCTCTTTTTCTTTCTTTAGGTTCTGTTGCTGTCCAATAAAGAGCATCTAAAATATCTTGGCCAAATGATGAAAACAGACGATCTGCAACCTGAGTAGTGATGTAAGAAAAAATAAATGCTTCACTTAGTAGTCATCATTGAGATTGATGTATCAAAACCCTGCTAAAGAATACTGCAAAAATAGCTTAAGTCAAACTTCAGAAACAATTTTTCATCTTAGAGATCATCCCATCACCAGTATCCGTTAATTAGTGAGAATATATCCAAGTACAGGGGGAAAACCAAAACGTATTTCAGCAATTTAAATGATTGAAACATAAATCCTTCAGATGAGGGCAAATGATCAATTTAATCCATTTCAAAATGCATTTATTAAGCAATTATATGCAAAGCATTACAGGGGTGGGGAACCTGCAGCCTCAAGGCCACATGTGGCCCTCTAGGTTCTCAAGTGCGGCCCTCTGACTCAATCCAAACTTCACAGAACAAATTCTTTTTTTAAGGAGATATTTTAATAAGGAGATATTAGGGATCTCATCCTTGTAAGATTCAAAGACAACTCAAGCTAAAAAATACAAAAAACAATCCCTGCCAGTGAAAAACATGTATTTTACTGGGAGGCACAATACATAAATAAATAAAGGCAAAATAATTTGAGGAAGGAGATAGCATTAAAACAGCTGGGAAAATAAAGAAAGGCTTCCAATAGGAGGTATCACCTGAGCTGAGCTTTGAAGGCAGCAAAGGATACTGAAAGACACAAGTGAGGATAGAGGACATTCCAAGTATGGGAGATAGCTTGTGCTAAGCTGAGGCAGTGGCAATTTGCACTCTCACTAACCAATATTTAAACACAGAGTCATTATTTGCATAAGGCTGACTACCTCACATACTCAAATAATTATTAGATATTTTCAGATCTCTCCCTTCATGTGTGAATTATATTATAACTGCTTCATATTGATTTAGCACTTGGAGGTTTGCATGGTGCTATCTGCACAACAGCTCTCTAAGGTAAGCAGCAGAAGTATTATCATGGCCACAATACAGACAAGGAAGTTGAATGACTTGCCCGTGTCCCCTCTGGCCAAATTCAGCACTTTACTTTTTCCAATCTACAATCTTTCCAAATTAGACTTAGTGTGACTGTTTACAATAAGTGGCATAATAAACTATTTAACAAATAAATATCTTAGCTAAATTAAGCTAGAACACTAAATCACCAAATTTGATTATTTAAACTAGTTATAAAGGCAGGCATAGACAGATCCTAGAGCCTCATTTTTCCCTACAGAGTCAAAGATGCAGGCCAAAGGAATTCACTCCCAAAGAGGCTATAAAAAAAATAAGAGAAGACTTAAAGGAGTATGAATAAGCATGAGTGACTTATTGCAAACAGGGATAAAGTTGTTCCCATTTTAGACAGACGGGGTATTCTTTGAGGTGTTCCTCATAGAAAATAGACTGATCACGACTAAACTACAAGATTACTTTCCTATTGCATATACCTGAACATAGCAAGCACTGGGACAATGCGGCTATAAACACTAAACTGAGCAACTTACTAGCCTTCAATACAGACAAACATTCCTTGACATCAGAATATGACTTGAATGAACTGTTCAGCTGAATGGCTACTGCTGTCCCAGCCTCTGAGTCTTTGGAGCTATCCTCAGTAGTTGATTTCCTCTTTAGATGAACTTTAATCTGATAACATCCCTCCATCCATTTTAGCTATCCTTTACCGTGGCTACTGGACCCACCTGAGCATTTAAAGTAGGGCTTCTTAACCTGGAGTCCATGAAATTAAAAAAAAAATTTTGACAAATGTATTTCAATATTATTGGTTTCTTCTGTAATACTTTGTATTTCATTTTAAACATTTAAAAACATTATGCTAAGAAGAATTCACCATAGGCTTCACCAGACTGTCAAAAGGGTCCATGGTACAAATTTTAGTAACTCCCACTCTAAAACAAGTTTTTCCTTACTTTTTGTTTGTTCAGTCATTTTTCAGTCATGTCCAACTCTTTGTGACCCTATTTGGGGTTTTCTTGACAAAGATAATGGATTGGTTTGCCATTTCATTTTCCAGCTCAATTTACAGATGAGGAAACTGAAGCAACAGGGTTAAGTGACTTGCCCAGGGTCACACAGCTATTAAATGTCTAAGGTTGGATTTGAACTTAGAAAGAAAGATGAATCTTCCTGACTCCAGGCCCAGTGCTCTATCCACTCCACTACCTATCTATCTTTCTCTCCTCACTACTTCAATTAAAAAAGCATTTATTAAGCACCAACTATGAGTCAGACTAGTGTTAGGCACTGGGGATACAAAGACAAAAATGAAAACATCCTCTGCCTTTAAGGAGCTTCCATTCTACTGGAAGAAATAGTCAATAGACAAGTATTTATTAAGTACTTATGTCTGGCACTGTGCTAAGTGCTGGGGACATAAAGGCAAAAAACAGCCTCTCCCTTCAAAGAACATACATTCTAATAAAAGAGACAACACGTAAATGACTAAGTATATACAAGATATACAGAGGGCAAATAAAAGTAATCTGAAAGGGGAAGGCATTAGTAACTGGGAATTGGGGGTGGGACGGGAAGATGGGGTAGGAAGGAGATAGAACAGGAGTGGTTAGGATAGGCTTCCTGCATAAAGTGGGTTTTCAGCTGCCTCTTTTTTTTTCTTCAGATACTTTTTTTTCAGATTAATTTATTTATTTATAGTTTTCAACATTCACTTTTATAAGATTTTGAGTTCTAAATTTTTCCTCCTCCCTCCTCTCCCCCCCTTCCCCAAAAGGGCATGCAATCTGATACAGGCTATACATGTATAATCACATTAAACATATTTCCACATTAGTCATGTTTGTGAAAGAAGAATCAGAACAAAAGGGAAAAACCACAAAAAAAAAAAAAAGAAAGAAAAGGGTATGCTTCGATCTACATTCAGACTCCATAATTCTTTCTCTGGATGTGGATAGCACTTTCCATTATGAGCTTTTTTGGAATTGTCTTAGATCATTGCATTGCTGAGAAGAGCTAAGTCTATCAAAATTGGTCATCTCACAATGTTGCTGTTAGTGTACACAATGTTCTCCTGGTTCTGTTGAGTTGCATCTTAAATGTAATCAGGGAAACTAAGAAATATGAGTATAGAACAGTCCAGTCTTGGGGCACAGCTAATACAAAGGCATGGAGATAGAAAATGTAGGGTCCTTTCCAAGAACTAGACAGTAGGCCAGTGTAGTTAGATCATTGTGTTTGGGGAAATTATATCAAATACAGATTTAATCAGGCTAGGTAAAAGTTATGAAAACTTTTTAAAAAATCTAAAAATGCATTACAATGAAGGCAAAAACATTTGTCATTAATATTTAATCTTTTCTTCAGCTGTAATTTTTAAGTAGTGAATTTCCAGCAAAGGCTGCAAAAAAGTTTTCAACATATATTTAAAGAGTGAGTGTTTTTCACTAAAAACACTCAGTGACATTTTCAAGAAGCACTTAATATGATTAAGAAACAGTTATTCTCATTTCATAAATTATGGAAATTGAAGTTGAAATTTTATTACTAGTTGATCTGAGAACTAAAAAAAAAAAATCTTCATTCTCCCTATGGTGCTTACTACATGTTCTTCTATATTACACACATTAAGCTTAAATTATCCATGTGCAAGATATGATAACTGACCCAAACAGATGAACTCAACATTGTCTTGGCAAGAAGAATTTATGTCCTTACCTCAAGCATATTGTAGATGATATAAAGTTTAATGACTGACTGTCCTCTTATCAGGTGATACATCATAGAGTAATCAACGTAGTGCATCATGAAGAAGCAAATTACCAAGATGACACCCTTCAAAATATCACATATCTGAGCAGGCTGAAGCAAGCGTCTGTCCCTGAAATATATAAATGGAATGAAAATATCAGTTCTGTTTCATGTGATTTCAAAAGAAAAAGCCTCAATTGAACTAAAAATGGAGCACATGGAATAATTACATTTTTTTTAATGCATACAAATCTAAAATACAAGAAAAGTCAAACTGAATCACTTGGAGCTACTATGAAGGTATTTTTAACCAATTTGTAATATTAATAATTCACATTTTGATAGCATTTAAATTTTTACAAATCCATTTTTTCATAACACTCCTGAGGTAGAGTATTATTAACTCCATCTTATAGATCAGGAAAGTTACAGTCACAGAGGTTAAGTGATTCCTCCAGGGTCAAATAGAGAGGACCCAGGTCCCCTGACTCTTCCCATCACGCCATGCTGCTTCTCCAGCATAAAGATGGTAAACACTAAAATAAGTATTATATATTAGACAGTAAGTTTTGACAAACTCACACAACTCACTGTTACTATCACTGATGATGTCATGGGAAATGGGTTTATATCAATGGATTTCCAGATTTACTACGTCTACCATTTCATTATCAAAATCAAAATCTGCAATTCACTCTGAGTCAGCCAAAAGAAGAACCAGGGCTCATAGAAGTTGTAAAGCAAGTTCTATTTATACCATATGAAATGCATTTCTCTTGGAATCACTGTCTATTCACCATCCAGTCAATAATGATCTCTATGCCTTCAGACCTTACTACCACCTTTACCATGTAATATTGTGTACTATAGCTATTTGTGTTGCTCAGAGCACAATTAGTGCAGAGTAAATGGAGACTTACTTCAGGGTACAAACATGGGCACAGGGGAGAAGCTTTGGGGTTGCCATTCTTGTGCCTTGTCCCTAACACCAGTTCTCTACCATAGACTGTCTGGAATGAACTGCCCCCTTTCCCACTGCAAGTACACCTGTGGCTGGACTGTCCTCTGGGCTACAGTCATGTGCCACCCCCCCCATCCCTGCTCACTGACACAAACACACACACAGAGGCATGCACATACATCTCCTAAAGCCTCAGGTGAAAACATTCTGAGGCCTTGGTATGGATTCTCTCCATTGTTAGCATTCTTTATCCACCAAAATGACTTCCTATTTACCTGTGACATGGTGTATTTCTCACCCCCACCTCCTCCCCTTGAGGATGCAAGCTTCTTGGCAGCAGGGACTGATGTAGAAGGGCTTTCATTTTTTACCTTACTAGCCTCAGTACCTGAGAAGCAGTGCAGTGCAGTGGACAGAGAGACCACCTCAAAGTCAGAAAGACCTAGGTTCAAGTTCTGGTTCTCATACATACTAGCTGTGGGACCTTGGGCAAGTTACTTAACTTCTCAGGGTTCTAGGCAACTCATAAAAATTCTAAGTTGCAAAGAAGGAATTGGTAGAGGGAGTTCCCGATACCAATGAAATCCCAGGTTCATTACTATCCCTTTATATCCTCAGCGCTCAGCAAGGCACTTAGTCATTAAATTGTACATACTCAAAGACATAACAATACCACTGTTAAGTAGATATGGGAATGAGGTTCAAAATAGAGGGCAAAGTACCATGTACAGAAATATTTATAGCAATACTTTTTATAACAGCAAAAGTTTAAGGGAAAGTGAGTGCTCATCAATTATAATAGCTGTACAAATCATAGTACATGAATGTAATCAGTCATTAAGCCAAAAATGATGAATATGAAGCATTTGGAAAAATGTGGAAAATATTCATTTGAACTTACATAGCATTTGAATTAAGAGAGCAATTTAGATGGTAACCACAAAAATGTAAAGAAATTAATATTGAAAGACTTAAGGACTCTGATTAATGCCACAGTGACCAACTGAGATGTTGGAGGACTTAATAGTGAAGTAACTATCCTAGCTATCAGCAAAGAAGGGGGGAATGAAACATACGTTTCAGGCATAGTCAAGGTAATGATTTATTTAACTTAACTTTACAAAGGTAGGTTCTATTGGAAGAAGGGAGTGGGGTGCCAGAGGGAAATGGTAGAATTTTTTTTAAAGACTAGAACCTCAACAAAATATTTTTATAAATCATTTAACAACTCTGAGTGTCAGTTTCCTTACCTATACAGTTAGGATAATGACATGTCAAAGGAGTGTGGTTAGGATTAGAGAAGATACAAAAGTGAAAACCTTAAAGCACCATATAAGCTACTCAAAATGTAGACACTTCGTGTGTGTGTGTGTGTGTGTGTGTGTGTGTGTGTGTGTGTGTGTGTGTGTGTGTGTGTGTGTGTATGCATGTGTTGGACTGAAATGTGTTTGGGGAGTTACCCCCCAACAGGCTCTGTGATTACAGGGACCCCATCTGACCTTAGCATCAGGTCTCTTCCACTCCTAGCAGAACGCTCTACACATTGGAGGCGATTAATGTTTGTTTTATTTGTTATGATATTTTTCAAGACCCAAATTTCATACCACTTCCCCAAGAAGCAGCTTTCCTTGATTCCACAAACTTAAAGTGCTATTCATTCATCTGCCTGTTCAACCCTATACCTAGTACAATGCCTTACAAGTAGTAGATGCTTAATAAATGTCTGTTGAATTATTAGATTGGAATAAATAAAAAAACAGGAAATCGTAGAATCCTATCCTGTCTTTTAAAAGCTGGCTATGGCTGTCATATGTCTGAAATATTTGAGTCAACAATGTTTAAATCCAGGGAGGTGATTGAATAGATAGTCATATCAATTCAAATTCCAGTACTAAGAGTCTGTGGACCAAACTTTCTGGACTAAATTAAAAAAAAAATACTGTGAATGCTGATGCAAGTGGAAACATGAAATACTCTAAGGTTCTATAACCTATTCTTTTGTGTTCTAAAGTATACTTAAGTAAGATTCAGGGAAAGAAATAATTGTAGTAGCATGACAGAAATGTTTGGTAAATTTACAACACATTCATTTCTAAGGTTTAAGGCTTAAATTTCTGGAAAAAAAAAGAAATTATGAAGTGAACTGAAAGTAATTTAATTACAAAAAAATAAAGTAAATTAAAGGAATCCAGTTGCTATTCTTTTCTCTTTAAATATATTTTATAAAGGCACCTAAAAGTTTCCAATTGTTTTATCATATCATTATAGATTCATACAATTTTAGAGCAGAAAGAGACCTTAAAGATCATTTAGTCCAATATCCTCATGTAACAGGTAAGAAAAGTGTGAGGTTAAATGACTTTCAAGATTGAAGAGGTTATATGAATAACATATAAATCACTAGAAACCAAATCTTCTGACTTTGAATCTAATGATTTTTAAATTGTATCATATCCCCTCCCAACATGCATCTATACTGAATTAATGAAAAAATGTCTAAGATGCCTGATGAGAAACTGTCCTGTTGAGTTTTTCCAATAAAAAATAGTATTCTTATTATAAATGAAAATGTTTTTAATTTTTTAGAACAAATTCTTATCATTCTTATAATTAATAACCACTAAAATAGGAAACATCATTCTTGACATCCATAGAAAAAAAGGTAACAACTGATATTTTTAAAACACAAAAATCTCTGCTGGTTCTTAAACAAAACAAATTAAAATGGTTATTAGACTTGGGGGGCACATGACACAGGAAAATATAATGTGATGTTAAAGAATGGAAAATAAACTGCAATAAGCTACATATTACTTAGTTTTGTGACAAAATGGTATATCCCTTGTGACTATTTTATAAAATTATATTTATATTTATGCAAAATGACAGAAGTTAGATTGCTAATTTAAAACCATCATAAAACACATTAAAATTTTGAACCAAATGACATTGCTTTTCAAAATAGAAACATTAATTTCCCCAATCTGATTCATATATATATATATATAACATACATATACACACATATAGGCAACATATACATAAATATAATACACATATTTTCTTCATTTTGACCAATTTATGCTATATTGCTGTAGTACAGAAGAAAAAAAAGCCTACGACTGATACTCTATTGCCAACTATGCTTGGTAATGCGTATTTCTAGATGTACCAGTAATTTAGCACATACAAATAACAGAACATCAAAAGAGTTTGATTTGCTGGTACACAAAATAGTGTGAATTGGCTAGATGTGGTTGCATGTTCATCATTGATGCTCCTGGTGGATCGCTTGAAATCAGGAATTCTGAGCTACAGTTCTGACCTATGGACAAAGCTGATTGGGTGTCCGAACTAAGTCTAGCACCAACATGATGACCCTGTTCTGTAGAGAAACCACCAGGCCCATGAAAGGGCTGCCCTTCCAGCCTGGATGAGATAAGGAGACTCAGTCTCCAAAAAGAAAAACAAAAATAAAACAAAACAAAATAAGAGAAAATAATGTGAATTGGGGAAAAATGTATTCAGATTTAGACAGTTCAATGAAGTGCATTAATAACATGTAGCCATTTGCATAAATCTTTAAAAACTCCCAATATTTCACATTTCTACTTTGAGATGCATGTTAGCAGATGCAAAGTTGTCTATCATTATGGGGGGAAATACCATAAAAAGAAAACTACTCTAATCCCACGAGATAAATACACATTTAAAACCCACAAATAATGCTTCTGGATTTCTGTCAACTTTGTGATTTACCTTGAAAATTTTAGTTTACTTCTGATACTAGTAGTTTTCTTCAGATGACACCTGTTCCAAACTGATGGAGTGTTCAAAACAAGAAGGTTCCTCTTAACCTACTCCCTTAATTTTTGTCCCTTAGCTCTTGGTAAGGGCTTGATAAACCCATACTAGTCTTCATTTCAAAATAATAACTCAAAGCTACCATAACTATAAAACATTGCTGTAACGAAGGTGAACACTGAAGGAAATCAGTGATGCAAAGAGAAAGATTTAAGGAGTGAATGCATTCCAGGTATGGGAGATGACTTGTGTAAAGGCACTGAGACCAGAAGTAAGAATGGTGAGCACAAGCAGGAAGAAGAGTAAGAGGGTCATTTGGGGGTTGACCAAAGAGTTTGTAAAGAGTAATAAGGCTGAAAGGGTGA